ATCAATTGAGGAAATAGAAGAAACCATCAAAAGACTACCAACTAAGAAAAGCCCAGGACCAGATGGGTATACAGCAGAGTTTTACAAAACCTTTAAAGAGGTACTAATACCAATACTTTTCAAGCTATTTCAGGAAATAGAAAAAGAGGGAGAACTTCCAAATTCATTCTACGAGGCCAACATCACCCTGATTCCTAAACCAGACAAAGACACTTCAAAGAAAGAAAACTACAGACCAATATCTCTAATGAACCTAGATGTAAAAATCCTCAATAAAATTCTGGCGAATCGGATACAAAAACATATCAAAATTTGTGCACCATGATCAAGTAGGATTCATCCCTGGGATGCAAGGCTGGTTCAATATACGGAAATCAATAAATGTTATTCACCACATCAATAGACTTAAAAATAAGAACCATATTATCATCTCGATAGATGTGGAAAAAGCATTCAACAAAGTACAGCATCCCTTTATGTTCAAAACTCTAGAAAAACTAGGCATAACAGGAACATACTTCAATATTGTAAAAGCAATCTATGCTAAGCCTCAGGCTAGCATCATTCTGAATGGAGAAAAATTGAAGGCATTCCCTCTAAAATCTGGAACAAGACAGGGATGCCCTCTCTCACCACTTCTGTTCAACATAGTTCTCGAAACACTGGCCAGAGCAATTAGACAGACGAAAGAAATTAAAGGCATAAAAATAGGAAAAGAAGAACTTAAATTATCACTATTTGCAGATGACATGATTCTATACCTAGCAGACCCAAAAGGCTCTACAAAGAAACTATTAGAGCTAATAAATGAATTCAGCAAAGTGGCAGGATATAAAATCAACATGCATAAATCAAAGGCATTCCTGTATATCAGCGACAAATCCTCTGAAATGGAAATGAGGACAACCACTCCATTCACAATATCCTCAAAAAAAATAAAATACTTGGGAATCAACCTAACAAAAGAGGTGAAAGACTTATACAATGAAAACTACAGAACCCTAAAGAGAGAAATAGAAGAAGATCTTAGAAGATGGAAAAATATACCCTGTTCATGGATAGGCAGAACTAACATCATCAAAATGGCGATATTACCAAAAGTTCTCTATAGGTTTAATGCAATGCCAATCAAAATCCCAATGGCATTTCTTGTAGAAATAGAGAAAGCAATCATGAAATTCATATGGAAAAATAAAAGACCCAGAATAGCAAAAACAACTCTAATCAGGAAGTGTGAATCAGGCAGTATAGCAATACCAGACCTCAAACTATACTACAGAGCAATAGTAACAAAAACAGCATGGTACTGGTACCAAAACAGGCAGGTGGACCAATGGTACAGAATAGAGGACACAGAAACTAATCCACAAAACTACAACTATCTTATATTTGATAAAGGGGCTAAAAGCATGAAATGGAGGAAGGATAGCATCTTCAACAAATGGTGCTGGGAAAACTGGAAATCCATATGCAACAAAATGAAACTGAATCCCTTTCTCTCACCTTGGACAAAAGTGAATTCAAAATGGATCAAGGAGCTTGATATCAAATCAGAGACACGGCGTCTGATAGAAGAAAAAGTTGGCTACGATCTACATACTGTGGGGTCGGGCTCCAAATTCCTCAATAGGACACCCATAGCACAAGAGTTAATAACTAGAATCAAGAAATGGGACTTACTCAAACTAAAAAGTTTTTTCTCAGCAAAAGAAACAATAAGAGAGGTAAATAGGGAGCCTACATCCTGGGAACAAATCTTTACTCCTCACACTTCAGATAGAGCCCTAATATCCAGAATATACAAAGAACTCAAAAAATTAAACAATAAGAAAACAAATAACCCAATCAACAAATGGGCCAAGGACCTGAACAGACACTTCTCAGAGGAGGACATACAATCAATCAACAAGTTCATGAAAAAATGCTCACCATCTCTAGCAGTCAGAGAAATGCAAATCAAAACCACCCTAAGATACCATCTCACTCCAGTAAGATTGGCAGCCATTATGAAGTCAAACAACAACAAGTGCTGGAGAGGATGTGGGGGAAAGGGTATACTTGTACATTGCTGGTGGGACTGCAAATTGGTGCAGCCAATTTGGAAAGCAGTATGGAGATTTCTTGGAAAGCTGGGAATGGAACCACCATTTGACCCAGCTATCCCCCTTCTCAGTCTATTCCCTAAAGACCTAAAAAGAGCATGCTACAGGAACACTGCTACATCGATGTTCATAGCAGCACAATTCACAATAGCAAGACTGTGGAACCAACCTAGATGCCCTTCAATAGACGAATGGATAAAAAAATGTGGCATTTATACACAATGGAGTATTACTCTGCATTAAAAAATGACAAAATCATAGAATTTGCAGGGAAATGGATGGCATTAGAGCAGATTATGCGAAGTGAAGCTAGCCAATCCCTAAAATCAAATGCCAAATGTTTTCTTTGATATAAGGAGAGTAACTAAGAACAGAGTTGGGAGGAAGAGCATGAGAAGAAGATTAACATTAAATAGGGACGAGAGGTGGGAGGGAAAAGGAGAGAGAAGGGAAATTGCATGGAAATGGAAGGAGACCCTCAGGGTTATACAAAATTACATACAAGAGGAAGTGAGGGGAAAGGGGGAAAAAAACAAGGGGGAGAAATGAATTACAGTAGATGGGGTAGAGAGAGAAGATGGGAGGGGAAGGGAGGAGATGGGGGATAGTAGAGGATAGGAAAGGCAGCAGAATACAACAGACACTAGTATGGCAATATATAAAACAGTGGATGTGTAACCAATGTGATGCTGCAATCTGTATACGGGGTAAAAATGGGAGTTCATAACCCACTTGAATCAAAGTATGAAATATGATATGTCAAGAACTATGTAATGTTTTGAACAACCAACAATAAAAATTAAAGAAAAAAAGAAAACAGCTATGATCATAAAAAGTAATAAAATAAACCTCAAAAATTAAAAAAAAAGAAAAAGGAATGAACAACAGTGAAGAATGAAGGAACTTATGGGACATCTAAAAAAACCAATAAAATTTTAAAAAATAAAAATAAGCTTCAAATAAAAAAAGAATAATAAAGAAATACTAAGTGGAGATCTTTAAGTTGAAATGAAAGGACACTAATCAGTAACATAACTGCATATAAAAGAATGAAACATGGGGTTGGGGTTGTGGCTCAGTGGTAGAGTGCTTGCCTAGCACATGCAAAGCCTTGGGTTCAATCCTGAGTACCACATAAAAATAAATAAATGTGTGCTATCGATCTAATCATAACCATGTAGAATGCGCCTCAGAGTTGACCCTCTGAATGGCAGGAGGCTGGGACATTTATCTACTAGCTCTCATTGCTCACACCCCCAAAGTCATAGATTTTACCATATTTTTGGCCTACTAATATGGTAGAGTTTTCTAACACTCTGGAAAAAGTAGTAGAACTTTGCTGGTACTTGGAGTAGGATGCTGAAAGCATGCACATGAATTGTCCACTGAAGCTGCGGTGGAAATCCTGTGTGGGTGGGGAAGGTTTAAGGGGATATGGAACCAGGTGCTACCCACCCACCCAGCTTTACAAATCATAAACATTCTCCATGCTTCCTTTGATTACTATCCTCTTCTCTACTCTTCTTAGTTGCCAAATCTGGACTGAGCCCACCTGCTGTTCTCAAATTTATTACTTTCTTTCCGTATCAATTGCCCTATTTCATCTTCTCAGTTTCTTTTTGCTCCATTTTTTTGTCCATCACTTTACCAAAGTTATTTTTGTGAAGTACTAATGGTTTTTTTCAGAGGCTCCCCATTGTTACTATCCGAGATGAAAACAAATAGTGATGGCTCTTCTAAACTGGAAACCATTTCCTGACAGTGTCATGGTGAAAAGTTTCTAAGGCCATGCTAGAGCTCACTGAGAAGAAGTGTGATGGCTAATCAATGTTCCTAGGGGTGAGGAAAGGGAGGTGAGCCCATGTGCTAGGTATGTGTCAACCATAGTTACACAATTCTTCCAGTCTTTGTATATAGTGTTCCATGACAGTAAATATCCGAGTCCAGTTCAGCCTTGTCTGCCTCTCCCATCTCAGCTCCTGCCACTCTTCTCCTTACTCCCTTCTCTCTAGTCATCTGGAATTTTGTGCCATTTTCTGAATTGGCCTTGCTCTTTCATATCCCCATGACTTTGCACTTGCTGTTCCTTCTGCTTTCATAAGGCCCCACCTGCCTTTTCCATGCTCTATCAGTCCTAAAGGGCCAAATCAAAATGTACCTGAATGAGAAGCCATCTATGATCCCATTGAAAAAGATAAATCTCTATTAGCCTAGACATTTCTAGTTTGTTTACTATCTATTTATTTTTTTATTATAATATAGTTCTTTGGATAATAATATTTTTTTTTTTGAACAGAGAAGCTTATTTATTTTCACAGAATGGTAATCAAGGAAATTTCGGATCCACAAAGTTCAGAATGCTTCAGAAAGTTGCTACCCATTCACTGGACCATATGAACATTTTCTTGTGCCTGTCACTGTCTATTCTTTGTATACACTTGAAACCAACTGTTTTACATCAGAGCATTTATGTTACAAATTTAACAAATACTGGGTGATAAAATGGTAGGGAAGGATAGATTTTAATGAATTTGGATTAATTAACACAACAGCACATTTCAAGTGTACAAACCTTAAAAGGGAAGCAAGAACACAGAAATTTGCCCCCTCCAAGCTCCTTAAGTCTTGTTTACAAATAATGTGTAGAAAAATTTTATTTGCTGTTCATGGTTTGTATCCTGGACACAATTTCATGTTTGATACTGATTCAAAATTGTAGTTATCAATTCATGCTGGCCCACCCAAAACTAACATTACTGGTAAAAAACGAGTACTTGTGAATCTGTATGAACATCTGAACTACATTTTCACTCTCCATATAATCTTCATTTCAGCCACCTGATGCTGAAATCTAAAATACTCTGATGGCTTAAATGTGCACAAGAACCCCACAGATGATAAGCAGGATTGACTGTCTTTATTTGGTGGCGATAAAAATAGCTTCAGATTAGTTGTTAAATGTACAGTTAACAGTGACCCTTTAACACAGGCAAAATAAAGAGGGGATAGGAAAACTGAACCAGGGCAAAGGCAGTGTGAGCCCAACCACTGCAAGCTCTGATGTACCCCCGTACTTCAACAGAGGCAAAAAGGCCAAAGTACTGATTGCTTTCCAAATAGCATGTTTTCTCTTTTGAGTCTATTGATGGTTACATTTCATTGTACCTTGTATAATATAGTCAGCCACTGTAAGAAAACCATCACATTTTGTCAGAAGATATATATTCATATAATACGTTCAGAATCACTGCTTGGTTCTTGTCTTCATCTTTTCTTCCCTGACTGTTTAGGTGTTGGAGTCTCTACTGCTCCTTCTGCATCATAAAAGGGCAGCTTGAAAACTATTTCATCATCTTCATCATCATCCATTCCCGCCACTTCAGATTTTCGTTTCTCTAAAAATGTTGGTGTACAAACTGGTGTGGGGCCCTGGCTATCTATAGACCCGTCAGGAGTGGCAGCAGTGCCTTTAGAAACCCGCTTCTTCTTCTTCTTTGGTATGCCTGAAGACTTTTTCTTCTTTATAGGTTTATCTGAAGGATCTTTGGTCTTACTGGATGATAAAACCAATGAAGGAAAATCATAATTAATTCCTTTTGCTGCTAATTTTTTCCTGAGCAATTTTTCTTTCTTTTTAAATCGCTCTTCCATTTGCAGTTTTTGAAAAAATGTCCGCTTCCGATTATACCGCTTCACGGCTGAATACAATGGCTGACGAAATGGAGTATTCCACTCTTTAAAAAGTTCTTTGTGTACTTTTTCTGGTGGCATAAAACGACACACCAAGAGTCTTTCACCAAAAAGGTAGTTATTCATTGTTTCAGCAACTATCTTGGCAACATCTTCAGACTTAAACTCCACAAAGGCATAGCCTCTGCTATTTCCAGTCTTTTTACTTCTGGATAGTCTAAATCTTGTAATAGTGCCAAACTGGGAGAAATATGCTTTGATTTGGGTTTCATAAAGTGCTGGAGGCAGATGGCCCACAAAAATTACTCCAGGAGTAAGTTTTTCTTGCTTTTTTTGCTGGGTTACGCGATGGCGGACCTGCTGCACCTCCTTCTGAAACTGGACGTCTTCCTGCGGGTTCAGAGAAAGAATCGGCCCGGGTGGGACGACGAACGGAGTCCCCACCATGTTGAGACCCGCAGCAAAACAAGCCACGCGGCGTGCTCCAGGAAATGCGAGCCCTCGACTCGGATAATAATATTTTAATTGAGTATCTTTCCCACTATCCAAAATCAAACTAAGGAACAAGTGCTAGTTTTATTGGTCCAGGTGAGTGCATGCAATCCCTAATGTGGAGTTCTCTGAAGCATAATAGTCTCAATGTAAGATCTCTTGTATTGTCCTGGAATATCTGGATCCAAGCCCAGATCAGTAGGGAAACTTGCTCATTGGCCAGACCAGTGAGAAGGAGAGGTCCCTTCACTCTTCATAGACCTGCACATAGAAAATGCAAGTGGCTTCTAAGCTCAGAACACAAAGCAGCAGGAAGAAATACATATTAGCTATGAAAAGAATAAACTAACATTTCAGCAAACAGCACAGTAGTTGGATTAAATGAAGCAGGTAAAACTAAAATCAGGTCTTAGGTAAGTAGAAGATAGTGATAGTGACAAACTTTGCTAAGAAAATATAAACTAAGGGGTAATAAGAGAAGAGATAAGGATATAACAAATATACAGACCAACCAACCGCAAAAAGAAAGAAACAAACAAACCCAACCCCAAACCTTATATTAGCAATATCTGCACCCATCAAAGTGGAATTTAGTGTTGGGCTATTGTTATACAGCTATCTAAACAAATGAATTATAGCTATCTGTAGCAATAAGGATAGAGCCTAAAAATAATACTTAGTGCATTAGATAAGTTACATAATAAATGAACAATATGTTTTGATTTGTGTATAATTTTAAAATATACTGAAAGCAATAGTATAGCTATTCTGTGTATGCAAACAATTTGTTTAAAGACTTGAAGGGTAATACATTAATTCTTAATAGTAATAAACACTCCCAGAAGTTGGGAATATTGGGCTGGGATGAAGCTCAGTGACAGAGAACTTGCCTAGTATGCATGAGTTTTTGGGTTTAATCACAAGCATCAGAGGCAGGGAAAGGAAAATGTAGGTGATATTTAAAAAAATAGATACTGAGTAAAGAGGACTTCTACTTGATCTCTGGGGTTTTTTATTTCTTTTTTTTTCTTTTAAGAAGACAATGTCATCATAGGATACTCATGATTTTTAAACATCTGTTCATGGAGGAAAAAAACTGAAAGCAAATAAAGCAAAATACTAATAGGATTCAGTTGTCATAGTGAGAGTGAGGACTTCTGCCCTTTAAATCTTTGTAATTTTCTATGTTTTTTTTAAGTTTCCAGAAATAAAGAAAGAGGAAAAGGAGGAAAGAATAAAAGAAAAGGGAGAAAATGAGAGAAGTAGATAACCTGTCCAGCAATATTTTATGATTACAAAATAGGTGAAGCACAGTAACTTGAGCCTAGAAAGTCAAGAAGACCTTGGAAGATGCACAGTTGGTCACAGAAGCCAACTTTTCCAACCTTCTACATCATGGCTTGTCTAAAGCAATCAGTGCTTACTGCGCTTGGTAAAATAGCCCCAAATTTGGTTGTTTAAAAATTTTTAATGGTCTCTGTTCAAAGCCATGTGATTAATTAAAAGAAATCTTCAATGTTTCAAGTTTCCAATGTGCTGCTGTTTTTATATTTCAAAGAACCAGGGGAATAATATTTCATAAGCCCATTAAAAATGTTAAAAGTCCTTTTCCATTTAATTACATTGCAAAAAATCATGGCTCCTAGCTTAATGGCTGCTGCATAGGAACAAGAGAGTTTTGGAAAAGACCAGAGTGGCCTAGTAAAGCAAGCACTGCTACATTTTATTGCTTCATGTAACTTTACTTACAAGATATATTTGCAATAAACTCTGCATAAGTTTGCATGACCGTGTGAATAAGTAAAACTGAGAAAGTGGTTATAGCTGTTCCCATTTTAAATGTTAGAAGCACACTGCTGTGTTCTAACTCATGAGAGAAATATTCTGTTGCCTTTGAACTCATTACCCAACTCTACTTAGAGAAAAGCATTACCCAGAGATTTCACCAAAGGCTTTAGATGATTATTGTCCAACAGTGCAAGAACTTTCCACATTGTCCTTTTTATAAGCTATTATATTCTATTGGACAATCTATTTGAGCCAGTCAACCAAGAATTTCATGAACAGCTATTGATATTCGGGCTCCTTGCTGGTCCAGGCCCTTTCAAGCCTGGACATGTATATATTGTGCTCATTGTTGTACATACTTTCCAGGCTCCATAATACTTTTATCTGTTCCTAGAGATGATGAGCTGAAGAGATTGAGGAGATTGAATAATTCACTGTTGAGGAAAGATGGAAGTGTGAGAAACTTCTGTTCCTCAACTTGACTTAATACTCTTGAACATGGAAATGTGTATTAATTTTTTGGTGGTATTATTTATTTTGAAGTATTAATTAGAATGCTCTCTCCCTTTCTGGGCCCTTATGTCTTCATCATATTGTCAGGTCCATTGCTCCTCCATTTCCCCATTGACAATCACCTTCCCTAAAATCCTCCATTTACCTTCCTAAATATCTAGGCATAAAGTCACCCCCTGGAAAACAGCAAAAAAAAAATATCCTTTATTAATTTTAATGACATTATTCGAAGTATAGATAATTAGGGTGCTTTTGACAGAGTTGGGTCTTTTGTTTGTGTGTTTATCTCTAAGGAACAGATTTGAAAATATCCAGGCACTATGAAGAATCCAATAGGGGTGGGTCAGGAACCATGGTACATGGGAACCTGAGAAGAGAACCTCAAATGCATGCTCCATTGTCATTTCCACTGAAGGTTAAATTAGTATTTATTTGTTCTTGGTGGTGGTGATGACCCACCAATCATCCATTCTCAATCGTCTACATCCAGGCAGTCTGTCTGACCCCTTCCAATTCTTGGTCTAATGGCCAAGGACAGTTGCAGGCATCTAGAAGAGAGGGGATTAATTGAATATTCAACAGGATGTGATAGCATGAGGGGCAGCCCTTGCCCCTAATGAAATTAAGTGTAGACAGAGGCTTCAGTTGGCTCTTCTCCAAAGTTCATATAGATGGAGGCAGGAGAGTGGCAAAGTCTGCTGTCCTCATCATGAACAGTGTAATTTTTACTAAAAGCCTCTGGAGGAGATAATGCTGAGTCTTAGTGGCAAATCTCCCCACACTCTTCAACAAACCTATTTTATATCTGTGTAATCTAGGTATGATATACGTATTTACCCAAATCATAAAAATATTTATATAAGTTTGGTTATTTCCAAGACCAGTCTGCTAAAATTGAGTGTCAAATGGTGTGAATATTTAAAAGTGCCTTATATGTTATGCCTAATCACTTCCAATAAACTTGTTCCAACTTCCACCTCCACTGGTAGTATATAAGCTTTCTTCCTCCAAGAAAGGCTATTTTTATTGTCCGTTATTTTCAGTGGCTGTGTAAGGAGAGAAAAAGAATACCGGGTTCCATTCTACCCCTGCTTTTTAGTTGTTAAGCCCACTCATCTCCCAGGCCTCAATTTCTGCACCTGAAAATTAAATAAAATTAGATCATTGGCTTTCGAAACATAGTCTTTATATCAGCAGCATCACCTAGAACTTAATAGACATGCACAATTTAGGCTCCCACTCAGAGATATTGAATCAGAAGCTCTGAAATTGGGACCCATCCATCTGTGTTTGAATGACTCTCTAGTGACACAGGCAGCTAAAATCCAGGAAATGCTATATTGAACCATCTGTAAGTTCTGCTTGAGCTCTAACAGACTTGATATGTCATTTTGAAGCAGAAAAGAAGAGGGATTTTTCATTGAGGGTTTGTTGGCATGGCTGTGTCATTCATGAGACTTGAACCCGACATAGATATTGTTGCATCTGGGTTCTCCAATTATTTAAAGAGCATTGCCAGATGTGTCTGATTTTACTGTAAAAAGACAAGATTATCAACCATGAGCAGTGGTAATGAGAAGCAATGTGGAGTGGATGATAAGATAGTGTTGAGACATCATATAAACCTGGGTTTGAATCATGTCTCTGAAGGTTCCTAGCTGAGTAGTTTTGAGTTCAGTGTCCTATTCTGAAAAATGGAGGTAGAGTACGTACTTCATAAAATTGTTGTAAGCATTAAATAAGATACTGCACATAAACTAAAACCAGTATCTGGCATGTAGTAAATGTTTAGTGAATGTAAGCTACTACCTGGAATTAGTAAGTTTCCAAAGCTCAGCTTTGCTCATCTGCATAAAAACAGATATAATAAGTATGTTAACCCTAAAAATTGGGGAAACCATTACCTGGTGAATTAACATAATCACAAGTAGAAGGAACAAGGAAAATAGGTGATTTGTAGACAGTAGGAAGCCACAGTTGGAGGAAATTTGCTACATGGATGTGAAGCAGGTTGTTCTTTTTTAGTAAAGATATCTTACAGCTATGCATAGCCTTCCTTTGCTGAAACTACTATAGGATACAAAAGACCAAGAGTTTTCTCCCCCAAAGCATGAATCCTGAACTTTATTCGTTCTCTTTGGCAAATTTGCATTCCATTCCTATTTTTGGAGGAGGAATCTAATATAGTAGGAGAGTGTCTATTCATAGTGGCCTCATTATCAGGGACCTCCAGGGTCACAGTGTTGGTGCTGGAGCACAGCTTACTGTCAGAGCACTAGTGCATTTCCAACATAAGTGCTAAAGTAGAATTCATTTCAGGTCCAACCTAGCTTCCCTCCCTCTTATCAAGCCCAGTTCCAGTTCTTAGAAATGGCAGTTTTAATCTTCTACATCATATGACATCTCTTTTCACTTGATATTAATGAATTTCTTCAAACATATATCTCTGTGCTATTTTAATTTTCACAGTAGAGATATGACAATTTTGTGCATTATTTTTTTTTTCAATTTACTGAGCTGATTATTCTGAAGATTGAGATTTGGTAAGGCATGTGTATTTCCCAAGAAATGCTAGAAAGAAATTTCTTCCTGGAAACAGTAATTGCTATAATTTGCAATCCCATTATAGAAAAGGGCATTTGTTTATGCAATCAAAGATACAAA